ATGCTGTGTTCTGCTTCACGTGGTTCCATTCTCAGGTTATTTGCTCACTGATGGGCGGTACTGAAAGGATACAGCATGAATCCACACCTTTTCTGATTGTGAACCATGCAATATTACGCTGTGCTGTTTGAACACTATTGCTGACATCAGGCAGATTTTGGCGGAGAATAGCAAATATCTGAAATATGTTCCCCTAGGTTGTATTGACTCTCCAATGACATTTGACTGTTTGAATCATAAGAAATTGTAGAAAACAGTACAAAGACGAGGAATTTCAGAATCATTCAGTGTGCTCACAAAGGACCTGTATGTAGACCAAGAAGCAGTCATTTGAACAGAATAAGAGCAACTGTCTAGATTAAAATCAGGAAAGGTGAGGTGGGTCAGGTTTATTATCCTCATTTCTCTGATGCAGATGCCAAAATTCATAGACGGTAAGTGACTAACCTTAGAAAATAGCCAGAAAGTGGAAAGGCCAGACTTGAAAAAATCTCCTAACATTTAATGTCACTTCCTTTTCCCTAGGAAGCATTCTGATAGGAACGAGATCATCCTTCAAACAGGACTGTGAGCAAGTCTGAAGAATTTGGAAGTCTGTTGTTGTTGTTATGTGCTGTCAAGTTGCTTGCAACTCATAGCTACCCTATGTACAACAGCCCTAACCCCTGCTCTATCCTGTGCCAATCTCACTGTCTCTGACACACCCACCCCAGTCATTGAATCAATCCACCTCACAGAGGGTCTTTCCCTCCTGTGCTGTCCCTCCATTCTCCCAAGCATAACATCCTTCTCCAAGGGCTCTGAGAAACACTAGTTCAGTTCCCTAACTGCCATAGTGTTGAAATCGCCTCGTAGCTGACCCTTCAACGGGTTTTCCGAGGCTGCAAATCGTACAGGAGGAGTTTGCCCATCCTTCTCCCACAGAATCACTGGTGTGTTTGAACCGCTAAGAAGGTAAACGCCTTTGGTTTAGCAGCACAGTCAATGACACCGGGGCTCCCTCTGAAGTGTATTAAAGTCTTAAAGGTGAAAATAGGCTCCTATATAGGAACAGATTGATAACACCTTTCCACACTCCCGACGACTGCCAGGAGCAGAAGGAGCTGAGATTACACGTTGTGATGTTGCACAGTGGGTAGAGGGTTGCACTGCCAAGCCCAAAGTGGCACCAGCTGGCGATTCTAACAGACGAGCCACTGCACTGGAGAAGGATGGGCCATTTCTCCCCTCCCTCACCCACTGTGCTTTCCAACCTCTGTAAACAGCAGCAGGGTTGGCTATGAGCTAGCACCAACTCCAAAGCAATGACTTGGTGCAATGGCTTTGACCTGCACTTTGATGCTAACTTAAATTCAGTCATAGTGGTTTGGCCATGGAAGAGGGTAACAGTCCTCAGGTAAAGGATCCTACAATTGTTTCCATGCAGCAGGTAATTTTCAGTATTTTTCAGTACTGCTGCAGCTATGTTTTTGTTAGGTGCTGTTGAGCCAAGTTCAACCCACAGCAACCCTATGAACAACAGATCTGAACTCTGTCCTATCTTGTGCCATCCTCACACTCTCTGACCCACTAGAGCCCACTGCGGCAGTCACTGTGTCGATTCACCTGGTCGAGAGTCTTCTTCTCTTTCACTGACCCTCCACCTATCCAGGCATGAGGTCCCTTTCCAAAGAAAAGCCTCTCCTAGTAGCATGTCTGAAGTACGTGCGATGAGCCTTCAACAACTTTGCTCCAAGAAGCACTCTGGCTGCACTTTCTCCAAGACATTGTCTATTTGTTCTCTTAGCAGTCCTTGGGATGTTCAGTACTCTGCAACAATGGGTCATTGTAAGTCAGAGCCAACTCAGTCGTTTCGAACAACCACACACAAACAAATGTCACTTTATAACTAGATTCCACATCTTTTTTGGTTTTTCTATAATTGTGCCATTTCACTAGACCCATTAAAAGTTTCCCTTTTTCTAAGAATACTGAATATCCTATGTACTGCCAAAAGAATAAACAGATATATCTTGGGGGAAAAGAAAAGTTTCCCTTTTTCTAACATGCATATTCTCAGATGGTGCGGATCGTTGTTCTCCATTACTAATCTAAACGTTGGAGGTTCGGATCCAGCCATTGGTACAGCAGAAGAAGGGCCTGGCAACCTGCTTCCATGAAGAGTGCAGCACAAACCGCCACCTCATGGAGAAGTTCTACATGCAACACATTGTGCTGCTGTGAGCTGGACCCACTGGGCAGGAACAGGTCCGATGATGCCTCAATAAAAAAAGAAAAGATAAGCGTAGCCCATCTTCAGAGGCCCAAGAGATCTTAGCCCGTCTCTCGAAGTCTCAGTCACCTCTTCAGTAAAACCAGCCAGGTATGTGACTGGGAGTTTGAAGTCAGCCCTCCAAAACTGAAAACCAGGGCCTTCATCCACTTACAACATGCAGAGCTTTTATTTATATATATATATATATATATATATATTTCCCCTTTAAAAATGTATTAAAATTATTTTGTAGCCTCCAGTAGAAAGTAGTAGTTGTTGTTAGATGCCATCGAGTAGACTATGACTCATGTTATTGTGTACCAGTGAGTCAGAACCGACCCATAGCTGACCCTCCAGGGAATTTTCAATCGCACTGGAGGAAATTGCCCATCGTTCTCCCACAGAGCGGCTGGTGGATTCGAACCGTGTGCCTTTGGGATTGCAGTGCAGATTCTCACCACTAGGCCACGAGAGATCCCTGTGACTCGTAGACCCAATAAATAATGGGTCTGAACCTGGCTCTACCCTGTGCCGTCCTTACCATCTCTGATATACCGGAGCCAGTTGCTACAGTGGCTGTGTCAATCCATATGGTTGAGGGTTTTCCTCTTTTTCATTGACCTTTCACCTTTGCAAGCATGATGTCCCTTTCCAAGGAGCGGCTCCTCCAAACATGTACAAAGTATGTGAGATGAAGGTTCACCATTCTTGCCTCTAAGGAGCATCCTGCTTGCACTTTCTCCAAGACATATTTGTTTGTTCTTTTGGCAGTTCATGGGATATTCCATATTCTTCCTCAACATCACAGCTCAAAGGCATCAATTCTTCTTCTGCTAATCGTATTTGCTGTCCAATTTCATTCAGGAAACAACTGAGAAAATAGTGGCTTGGATCAGGTACCTTAGTCTTTAAACTGGCATCATTGCTGGAAAGTTTCTTGATAACATTTTCCCAATACAACATATCTTTTGATTTCTTGGCTGCTGATTCCAGTGTTTTAGGGAAAAAAAAAGGGAGGGAAGCATGAACACCTGATACATGTTCTTTGCTGAGCCCTGTCTCACTAACACTCCAATAATTTATTCAGAAAATGTTTATGGAATACTTATTAAGTGTCAGACATTGTCGAAGGTAGCATGAAACAACAGATAGGATTAATTCTGCTCGAGTTTACAGTGAAATAGTCTGTGCCATCATTATAGCTTTTGTTAATTGCCAATGAAACAGAGATACCAACTCCTTTAAAATTCCACATAGCACCTGGAACATGGTTCATGGTAAATTAACCTAACTCATGCCGTCCACTTCTGACTCCCAGGGACTAAAATGTGCTGCACCCCCGAATGCACGTGCTTCTAATCCATCAACTGCTCCTCAGGAGAAGATGGACAATCTCCTCCCATGTGATTTATGGCCTCTGACAACCCACTTACAGGGTCAGCTATGGTCGCTTCTGACTTGACAGCACACAACCACCGAGACCAAGAAATCAAAAGACATGTTACAGTGAGAAAAATCTGCTGTCAAGGATCTCTCCAAAGTGCTAAAGAGCAGAGATGTGCATTTAAAGACTAAGGCGTGTCTTATCCAAGCCATAGTATTTTCAATTGCTTCCTATGCATCTGAAAGTGGAACAATGAATGAGGATGACACATGAAGATTTGACGCTTTTGAATTGTGGTGTTGGAGAAGTACTGAATATGTCATCTTTTGAACTGTCAAGAGAACAAACAAATCTATCTTGGCAGAAGGGCTGCCAGGGTGCTCCTAAGAGGCAAGGATGGTTAAACTTAGATTGGGCATGTTACCAGGAGGGACCAATCCTTGGGAAAAGGCATCATGCTAGGAAAAGTGGAGGGTTAGAGAAGGAAAGAAAGACCTTCAACAAGACTGACTGCTGCTACACAGTGACCATAACAATGGGCTTAAGCGGATCAAGAGTAATGAGGATGACAAGGAGAGGGCAAGGCTCAGATCTATCGCTCACAAGGTCATGATGCGTCCTCATCAACTTGACTGTCAACAACAATATTTGAAAGACCACTACGGAGCCACATGACTGGGAGAGATCCATATTTGTTCCCATTCCCAAGAAAGGTGATCCAACAGAATATGGAAGTTACTGAACAAGATCATTAAAATCACATGCAAGCAAAATACTGCCAAAGATCATTCAAAAATGACTAGAACAGTACACTGACAGACAACTGCCAGAAGTTCAAGCTAGGTTTAGAAGAGATTATTGCACCACGGATATCAATGATGATATCAGAAGGATCTTGACTGGAAGCAGAGAATACCAGAAGAATTTGGCTGACGATCATAACAAACTATAGCTAGCATTGAGAAGAACAGGAATCCCAGAACACTAAATTATGCTCATATAAAACCTGTACCTAGGGAGCTCTGGTGGCCTAGTGGCAAGAAGCTGCACTGCAATCCCAGAGGTACACAGTTCGAATCCACCAGATGCTCTGCAGGAGAAGGAGAGGCACTCTGATTTGACAGTACAAGCACAAAAAAAATAATTAAAATAATTTTAAAAAATTAAAAAAACAAAAAACCAAACCTGTACCTAGACAAAGAAACTATTGTCTGAACAGAGCAGGGGAATACTGCATGATTTAAAATCAAGAAAAGTGTGTGTCAGAGCTGTATCCTTTCTCCCTACCTTCCAATCTGTATGCTGACACAATCACTCAAGAAGCTGGACTCTGTGAAGAAGAACATAGCGTCAATATCAGCGATGACACGACCTTTCTTGCTGAAAGTGAGGAGAACCTGAAGGGCTAGCTGCAGAGACCCCAACATTAAGCCCTCAGTATGGATTATATCTCAACATCAAGAAGATAACCACTAAGCTGACAGGCAATATCATGATAGATGGAGAAAAGATTGAACTTGTCGATGATTTCATTTTACTTGGAGCCACAATCAACACCCTTGGTAATGGCAGTCAAGAAATCCAAAGACATTGCAATGTGAAAGTCTGCTTGCTGTCAGGGACCTTTCCAAAATACTGAGGAGCAATGACGTCATTGTACAGACTCAGATGCCTCTGATTCAAGCCATGATCTTTTCAATCACTTGGGATGTATCTGAGAGCTAAATAATAAATGAGGATGCAAGAAGAAAAATCAATGCCTTTGAACTGTGATGTTGAAGGAGTACTGAGTATTCCATGGACTGCCAAAATAATGGACGTACATGTCTTGGAAAAAGTGCATCCAGAGTGCTCCTTAAAGGCAAGAATGGTGAAGCTGCATCTCATATATCTTGGGCATGTTGTTAGGAGAGGCTGTTCTTTGGAAAGGGACATCAGGCTTAGCTAGGTGAAGGGTCAGGGAATGAGAGGAAGACACTCAACCGGATGTATTGACACAGTGACTGCAGTTCAGGGCTGAAGTATGTAGGAGATGATGAGGATGGCAGAGGACAGGGCAGGGTTCAGGTCTATTGTTCATAGGCACCTAAGAACAGCAGCAAAGCTTTAGAGCAGGATAGCGGATTTGAAGCACTGGCCTTTTGGTTAACAGCTCGACAAGTTAAGCATTGTGCCACCAGGGCTCCTTTTCAGGAGCCACTTACGAAGCTCTGGTGGTGTAGTTAGGAGGCAACTGTGCTGCTCAGAGAAAGGCTGAGCCTCTGGTGACGACCAGAATTCACCAGGGGCTGGAATCTATCGAGAGAATGGGGAACAGTTTCTTCTCTTGCTATTTAAGCCTCAGAAACCCTGCGGAGAACCAGCTAGCTAAGAGTTGGTTCTCACTCCAACGCAATGAGCGAGAGTACCCACTTAATATTCTCCGTAATTTAAAGGTCTAGAAAATACCAATTTCTCGTTACATATTCTAATTATGCCCACAAGGTGGAGCTCTTGCTTACAGTTTGCCAAACTGAAAGGGCAGCATCTTAAAAAAAAAATTCCCTGTAGAAGTTCAACGAAAAAGCAAAACATTAAATTCAATTTATTGACCTCCTATTTAGTGTCATTTACTATGTTAGATGTGCAGGGGAAATAAAGAGTTGATAAGACATAGTCGCTACCCTCTAGGGAAAGACCAGAGCACAAGGCAGGAAAACAGTATTTTTAAAGGAATGAGTATGTTTTGATGTATCCGTAGGGGAGCCACGGTTATCTCTTCATCAGATAAGATCTATAAAAAGGCAGACTGCAGCCACAGTGAGTTGTGGCTCAGATTCAACAAAGAGCCATGTACACGTAATACAACAATGAAAACACTCGAGTGTCCCTGGCAGAGAGAGGTGGGGGTGGAAGGCCCCAAATACGGTGGATTTGTTATTTGTTTGGGGTTTATTTTATGCATATGCTCAACCGTCAACACTAGGTCTGTGCCCCTTAGTACTGGAGAATCCACCCCTTGGGGAATAAAATATGGCCAGGGCCAGCTGATGAGCTCACCCTTCCAGGTCGGCTCCACCTCCCAGCAACCCTATAAAGGACTGGTTAGAACGGTCCCAGGGCCTCTCCGAGGCTGTAAATCTTCACCGGAGGAGCAGATGCTGTAATTTCTCTCTCACTCTGGCCCTACAGGACTCCTCCTTTTAGCTGGGGAGTTGGTATAGTTGATGGAGATTGGGGGTGGGAAGAAGGATGAGAAGCCACGCGTGTAAGAAAACCAATGTCGACCTCCAGCTCTCAAAGGCCTGTTTCTGTCTCCCCCATCATTCGTTGAGCGGAGTGGAGAGGAAATCTCACTTTGGATCTGGGAAACACTTAGAGTGCGAGGATGAGGGAGAGGGGCTGAACCTCCTGCAAGAGCTTCCTGGTGTCCTCACCCCACCCCACCCCCACAGGGAGCGAGTTGCCTAGTTCCTCCAGGCCCCCATCTGCACCCCTAACCATTTCTTTTCCCGTTAAACTCAGAAGGCAAAAGTTGAATGAGGGTTTGTGTGTATTTCCTTAATTGAAAAATCAGATATGAGGATTAAAGGGATGGGCTAGATGACAGAGAAAAATTTTTTTTAAAAAAAAAAGCGAGATTGCTAACAACTTGATAAAAATATTTTCTTGATGGAAGGTAATCAAATGGCCTGCCGATAGCAGAAGTGAGTGTAGATATAGCTTCTCCACTTACAGGATGAAGGGAGCTCTGGTAGGCTAGTGGGTAAAGAGTTGCGCTGCCAACCCAAAGACAGGTTAAAACTGGTTCGAATCCTCCAACTGCTCCTCGAGATGGGCAATCTCCTCCCATCTGCCTTACAGCCCTGGAAAATCCATTGGCTCGACAGCAAGAGAGAGACATTTACGAGCTAAGCAAGCCCCATGAGAGACGCAGAGAGACTTACTAGCAAGCCCTAATCCTTTTCTGTGCCCCAGTTTCCTCCTGGCAAAAACATGTATCTTTGGACACGTCTTCCCTGACACCCCACCCCGCACGCAGTCCATGCTCTGTTAGCGACCTGGCCGGCTACCTAGCATGTAAACTCAGGAAGAACTGGGCTGGGTTTTCAGGATTTCTTCACTCTGGGGCCAGAGAAGAGGACAGAGAGTTTTTCTGGAAGAATTGAGAGTCTGTGGATGTGAGCAGGCCCGGGTCCTCATTGTGAGATTCGCTGACATCCAAGTCCACCAGCCCGCAGTGACCCGCGCCGGGCGCGCTCGGGGAAGGAGGAGAGGTCGGTTCAAAGTTATCCGCTGCTGGTGATTGAAGTCAGATCATGGGGGCGCCCCCAAATTCCCGGGGGCTTACCCAAAGCGAGAGGGTAAAAGGTGCGCACAGCGCTCAGTCGTGCAAGGCCTGGAGCCCAGCCCTTCGGAAGCTCGCAGGGAGCCAGACACCCCCTGGCGAGGGGACCCAGCCGACACACTCCGGCGAGGACTAGAAGCCAGTCCCCCGGCCGGTCGCAGACTCCAGCGCAGCACCGCCCCCTGCGACACCCCCTCGCGGGAATCGCCCATCCATCCGGTCGCCGAGTCCCGGAGCCGGTGTGGGGCCGTCACTCCGGGCTGGAAGACGCCATCGCCGCTTTAAGGGGAAGAGCAGGCAAAGGGGGCGGGCGAGCGGGGGGCGGGGAGCGGCGGAGGAGGAGGGGGAGGGGGATCCCCCTCGCTCCCACGTGGTCCGGGCGCCTGTGAATCGCGCCGGCCGGAGGGTCTCACAGCGAAATACAAAAGCAGCTGGGAAGCAGCGGCGAGGCGAGTTCCCAGCGCCGGGCGAGCGCCGGGCAGCGCCCCGCAGCGCCCCACGGCCGCGATGGGGATCAGG